TGTATTGATAGTAATTGCTAGTTGTTTTGATCAAGTTATCTAAATACACCTTCAGCATATAGAGCAAATTACTACTTTATGGTACTCGTTGACTTCATAGTGTAGACTAACTCTTTAAGTCAAAGTAAGAGAGTGGCTGGTATGCTACTGCATAGTAGATTAAACGAGTAGTTAAAGACGAATAAAATATAATTTATAATATCAAAACTTGTAGATTTACTAGCAATCAATGTAAAAATCACTATTTCAAGATACTTGAAAAGAACATTATTGGCCCTGTACTACTATTCATAATGTATGTACTGTGCCATGTATACGGTATGGTAAATATTTACGAGTATGTCACTTTTAAGGCCACAACTTTTAATCGGTTAAAGAACTTAGCAATATCAACATTGCACAATGCAATGAAACATTTTATCGTTACATATAATGTTTCGTAGAAAATTTAATGATATAAGTTTCAACTATGCAATGCATAAGGCATCATCAGTAAACAGTTGTATATATTCTAAATTACTATGAATTAATGACGTTGTTATTAATAATTACTATCGGGGTGGTTGACTGGTTGGTGTTATTTACGTTATAAACTTGTTACTTATTAATAATATATTTAGACGGACAGATCTCAAAATAGCGTGTATGGACCATACGAACAGATAGATATAGGATGAATAATATTAACTTAATAGCATTTAGATATCTTTTCCACATGATACTGTAGGAATATTCACGTTTTATCCTTCACTATTACGTTAAGAAAACAGTACGACTTGTTGACGGATAATAGTAGCAGATCATAGAAGAATCTTTTTCAACATCAACCCATTAATCAAGTAAAGGATGTATAAGTTGAGATTTTTATTATCTTTTGCAAAGAATTCATTTGGACAAAAAGATCTTCTTTTCCAATTTGCTATTATTACAGTATATTAAAATAATAATCATGATTGATCTAAGTTTAACAATGAGTTATTGACCAGTTTCAATATCTTGGTATTGTAAAACTTGCATCTAAATCTACTGTTTACATGGTGATGGTAGTCAAAATTTTCATTGTTTGGTGATATTAATCTGTGAGAAGAAAGCTACTGTGTTCAATTTTTAACAACTTGAAAATACAAAAACAGTTACCAATGTTGTATAGGCAATATTTAAATAGGAGAAAATTCATAACGCTATTCTATCCCTGACTGATATATAAAGATAGCATTAATTGGCAATGCTTAGCGATAACACGATTTCCAATTGATCACCCATTGCCAATAAGACTATTGATATAGTAAATTTTCGATCAATGCGCGTCTTGACTATACCTAGTTGAAGGTTTATTCGTATTTTGATAGCTCTACCTATTACCCTGCCTAGTTTACTGTATAGCGAAAGGAAAACTTCTTTTTTGAAAGACTGTAACTTAACATTTTACTTATATCATCCATCACGGATGATTTAAAGGAAAATTCTACTGCTAATTTATTCGTTAACTGCTTTCATTAGCATGAAAGGTGAAGTGAAAAAAGTAGATTGAGCATCTATGGGTATAATAAAATGCTAAGGTAAAATAGAATAAAAAAATCGGATATGACATACTACTATGATTGATCATCACGTAAATTCAAAGTAACTTAGAATCGATTCAAGAAATGATTTGTTCAACTATCCAATTCGATCTATATAGTGGTAGCATATGATATTCGGTCATTGATCTTGAAACTGAAAAAGTATCAGGTTTGTCTGGCGGCCAAATAGTTGTCAAGAATCTTTAGCTGCAGACTCAATATGATATAATACGTAATTCTTGGATATCGTGTGGTTATCCATGACGATAATGTAATGGTGTAATATTATTTTTTCCGCCACCACGAGATTTATCGTCATGATTGCTCTCGCTGTGCATACAAAATAATTATATTTCTTCTTGATACGGTATATTTTATTGTACGAATCTACTTCTGGCTCAACAGGACATTGATTTGACGTTGACATTTTACCTCACAGACTAGGAGAAAATCTCCACAGTTGGTACTAATATAAACAATAAAAAGGAGAATTCTCGGAATAGCCCGATTAAGTCAAAGTACCTCGACTGTACCCTGAACCCTGCTGATTTATACTGTACTTTAAACAGTTTTACCTTGGAGAATACTCCTTCTGTCCAATAACCTAAGAAAGCGATATCTCAACATGCACTCATATATCAGTAAGTAAATAAATGACATCACGCTGTTGTTATTAGTCCAATATGGCGTAGAATGGAAAAAAAATCCATCATACACGGATATCTCATCATGATATCATCATGTATTTTTGTTCTCAATCGGAGTTAAAAATATATTGGGAAAGGAGATAAGGGAAAAAGTAACAAATTAGATGATAAAATGATAACCTACTGTATCCTATTTCATAGTCTTTGTCAGAGATTGTATAGTAAATGGAAATATCCGGTCTTCGATCATTAATAATAGCAATAGCTCATCCAATTTCACCGTGATTACATAGAGTAATATTGTATTGATCCAACTGATTGTCTTTACACAGTGAAAATTGGCTTAAATTATAGGACCTATCAGAGATTTTTATCGACATATATATAGCACTATCCAGCTGATCATTTGAACAGTCTAATGTGGTATACAAGTATGATTAATTTGGATTTGAGTTATCGTCATTTTCTCAAGTAAGACGTAAGAAGCGATAAGTCCTCCTTACTGGCACTACAGTATTTCGCCTTCAGAAGTATTAATCATCTTTTCAGTGGGAAATGATGTCAATTTATTCCAGGCTACCCTGTCGAGAAATACCATGCTGAGAATTGGCCATGTGAGTCATGTACGCAGTTGATGAAAGCGATGGCAATAGTAAAGAAATAAAATATTTGTCATATTTTACGTACTCCTACTTTAGTCATGATTTCATCTCCAACAAGCCCCATTGAATCATAGTAGGAAAAAGACGCGACCGCATTTTTTCCCTATTTCATGTACTGCTGCGTTAGTCATGATTTCATCTCCAGCAAGCTCTATTCAACTACAATAGGAAATAGACAAAAGTAAATAAAATAATTCATTTTTAGACATAGATGTCATACCAAGTTCAAAAATGGAGATTCAAATGTTGATTGACTGTTCATTTGGAATCACGGTTTGACAAAAAAAATATCCCTACCTAATAATTTCCGTCCAAACGCCGATACAAGATTAAACTTCTTGAACTTTTCCTTGTTACTATCTCTTGACTACACTTTAGAAATCTAACGATAGTATACGAGTCCACTTTCAATCAATAGAGAGTTGAATAAATAAATTTATAAAGTATTGAAAGAATTCGCCCTCCCATTTTCCTGCTTTCTATTATTTTAGCACTTCTAGAGCAGTAGTGGCGAGTTCGAGACAATTTGTTGAAGCAGTTTGATTCATTCTTCCTTGTTCTTCCTTATCAAAGAATATGTTGGAAATTGTATAACTGATTGACGTAATATTTTGTAGACCTTTATTCATAATTATCGATTGATATCGACGACCACCAACAACGTAATTCGACAGCCATTTATTCTTCTTCCTGAATTTTTTTCTCCTATCCCTCCAATGCATTCCTACCATTTCAATAATTGAATGTCATCTAGGTAGAAGACAATTTATACCATTTCATTGATCCCTATTTTAGTCATAATCGATCGAAATTTTTTTTTATTTCTACTTATTTATTGTTATTTTTTAATATTCGATCCTAGACAAGTTGTATCGTGAGGGACTGGTGTTTTACTAGCCTCTATTTGTTTTGTGTCGCAAATTATAGTATACAGGATAAAGAGTATCAAACTATTGATTTTTTCCACTCGATATCCTAATCTAATCATCGTAACCTTTGAATTGGATAGTAGTCATAGTCAAGTTGACCATCCTGAATAAGCAGACGGTAGGACATAGTAGGGAATCAGCAAGACTCAGTCGATTTTCCATCGTCAAAAACTAAACAAATGAGATTAGTAATGGGGTGATTATGTCAGTCAAATTGGAGGGGGCAGTTTAATCTTGGCGTTTGATGATGGTGGTAATCCATCCTTTTGGATAGTCTTGGTAGCAGTTTTTAGTCTGCATTATATATACCTTATCCAGTCGTTATTGTACTCGTAACACAATAGTCAGCAATATAATCCACATGATGTAATAGACGTAGTAATCATTGAAAGATTTGAACTATTTATGAATATTCTATACCATGTTTATATATTCCATTATTGATCAATATCATAAGCACAACGTTGCTAGACGTAATAATCTCAACAGTGGATTGGTGGGGGAACATTGGTATCCAATCCCAGGGAAAAAATTCTTTTTTTTTTTTCCTTCCCTTTTTGTTTTTTCTAGTAAATTGGATGATAAAATTACAATATTAATTTCTATTCTCCTAATTTTTACCTGCCTCAATGACTGATTAATTGCGACTTGGATAGAAAGTGTCTATATCGGACCGGTAAATGCGTCGAGTTGTTTAGTTAACACATGATAATAAACATGATTAAAAGCATTTTTCCTCCACTGTTGTTCATTACCAATTAATGAGTTCTTGAGTGCAAAACCTTATTTTCTTCTCTCTTGATTGAATACAATACCTTAACTATTAAGACATTCTTTTTATTTTCCTATCGACCGGGCCCCTACAATATACATTTCTACTAGCATTAATAGCAAAAATTGAAATGTTCTACAGTCTATCAGTCAAAGGAAAAGTTGGATAAGAAGGTAGACTGTACTTTCCAATAGTCTCTTACTATTGAATAAAAACAGACAGTGTAGAACGATAGACGTAGATGCAATAAAACAAGCTTGTATTTCAATTGATTTTGCATATCATTTTTTTTCTCTCTCTCTTCAACTCGAAACGATCTTGCCTGCCTTCTTGTTGAACTTTATGCTTATTAGACGGATAATAACAGTGGACCTACAGATAATTCGTTGATGACTAGTGATGGAACTCCAGGATTGCTACATCCAAAGATGTCAATGCGAAGAACAAGACGATTTAGTGAAATGCCACAGCTGGAAAATAAAAGCGCTTCTTTTCGAATGGACGACTCTAATCTTAAAGTACTAAGTAAATCTAAACTTGGTCGTTCAGCTCCTGCTCTATTGGTAAGTCATGAATAATCACAGTAATCCATACGAATAGACAACGACTCCATATTCAGTCCTCTTCTCTACGATAACTTCAGTCAGGAGATCGATCATTATCGATAGAAAAATCTTGCAGGTGTTGAATCATCCTTTTTCCTCCCATAAATTAAACGTACAGTAGTTCAAGACTTTGATTCTTAATCGTTTTAGCCTCTATTCATTTTTACCGGGATATCCGACAATTCACAATTCCTATAAACTATTTCTTTTTCTTTCTCTCTATCTGTCAATTTCTTGTTGAATTACTACTCGTACAGCATATTGTCATTTTCTCTTCAGTAGACAACAACAATGATTTTTTCAATATCATTCTAATTCCTGCAGTGATTGATCTATTTTGTCCTTTTTGATTTCTTCCCACCTTGACAAAATCAAGATTTGCTAATGAATTTGCTTTAGTAACACTGTTATAAGAATAATAAAATCGCTATCGACGATTAAGAAAGACAACTTGACGTTCTAGTTAAATTTAAGCGTTGACACTCACGAAATTATACAGCTTACATCAAAATCTGCTGCCATCGCAATTCTGTATAAATAAAAAAAATATTACTGTTGAATCATCATCTATCGCCCAGATCGAACTGTTTATTGACGCTGTATAACGTAATAATAAGTCCTCTTAATGTTCTTCCTGCCTTCATTTTTTTTACAATCATTTATCCAACAAAGAATTCTAGCTAGGATAGATTAAAGTAATTACTAGACTAGAGCATTCACTAAATAACCTATTGGAAATTTATGCTATCATTTTCGTCCCGTGAATTCCCTTCATTCAAATCATTTAGTTTTTTTTATTACAACTTCTTATTGATTTCGATCGTTTTACTGTTATTATTGTACGTATCATGCCAATAAATACACCAGAAGGAAGAAAATCCTATTAGTTTAATAGTATTGAAAACTGTAGACTCTAAAACTTGGTGCTAATTTAACTCGAATTAAATCGTCTTGTAAAAATTTCTAGTCTTAATACTATTTATACACTTGTTTGGGTTGATAGACTACTACATGCAATCTACATCATCATCGTTCAATTACAAGGTATGTGAAGTAAAAGAAATTAGATGATATATTTTTAACAACGATATAGATAGATAGAATTGCTATATGGAAGTAATTGTCGCCATTGTTTTTAATATATAATACGAATATCCATGTATAGTAGTAGGATCTCGCATAACTGAATATAAGTATTAATGGAATTCAATAAGTAGAATTAGACTGTTACGTTATATTATGATATTACTCCAGTAGTGGTCTATCACTTGATAATACAGTAGTATTCTCGTATCTATATCAACAAGAATAAGCGTATGTACGATATGCTTTCATCTATGCTAGTTTATTAATATTCTTGCATGATATTCGAAAATGGCGTTGTAGTATTGAATTTTTAAGAGATTCAATTTATTTTCCTATTTCTACATCATAAATTTCAATTACAACTGTTCGAAAAGAATAGTCTTCACTTTTACTTTACAGTTTGAATTAAGAATATTGATAACATTACCAGTGTTGGTTTTGATGGGTAAAAAGTGTATATATATTTTATTTTATATTTTGTTAATTATTTATTATCGCCTATGATGATGACAGGAGAGGAAATCGATTTGTACCTAAAGCCAATGTCATTGGAGTGCCAACTGCTCAATTCCGTTCAAGATCCCGATCTATATCACCTTCGTCTGGTTAGTATGTTATTAGCATTGATGTACATCATGTGCTATATCAAACAAATAATTAATTTCATAGATAAATAACCAAACTTTTTCCTTGCTATATGTTAATATAATTATAGATTAGTTAACATCAAGAACATGTAGTAGTCAAATTTTACTATAGTGTAATCGGATACTTTTACAAATTTTTCCATTTTTTTAAATTCCATTGGTGACATCTTCTGTCATTTTCTGTTACTAGGTTTTAGTCCAATTAGCAGTCCGCGATCTTCACCTCGAAATACGCCTGGCCAATGCCCACTATCTGAGTCATGGTTAGTATTGTAGTAAAAATAGCTTATTATTCTTGTTTTTGAAGACGGAAGCTTTTAATTGCTAAATGTAAAAGTACGTCATAATGTATCTTAGGACATCCCGTCGTTGGTCTTTAGCTTCATTTTCTTCCGGTTATAGCAGCAATGCTGCTCGATCGCCTGTTCATTCGGTATGCTATAATCTGTAGCTTGCCATCAAAATTAAATCAACATCTGTTAATCGTTTATCTAAGAGCTGACCACCTTTAATATTTTTTGTTGCTAATTATAGCCAGTACAGAACAAGCTACATCAGGTATGTTAAGCGTATACCAATTAAGGAATAAGCCAGAGCTATTAATGTATAAGTATATAATATCTGCTTTGTTGTTGATGATATTTTTCGCTAAGATTCTGAATGTTAACAGACATCGTATAATATAATGAAATGATTTCTGCTTTAGTTACCGTCACAACCAACATCATTTGACTTGGCTTTCTTAAGCAGTCAATTTGGGTATGTTATATATCATAGCTTTGAAAACTGATACAAATTCCTTAGTATATAGGTTAGTTGATATGAGTCTTACTAATTAAAATTTGTTGTAAATAGTTGGGATAGTGAAGAAGAATATCCTGCTACCAGACATCGTTCGAGAAGTTTAAGGTAATGGAAATATTGTTACAATTTAATGTAGAGAATTAATTTCCAGATTCTATACTAGACCAAGAATTTCTCGCACTAGATGATAATGATTTGCATTATCAATCAAATTCTGTTAACAATTATTAATATTATTCAAATTTTTATCTTCTAGCCCTTTCAGAAGTAGAATAGATGATAAAAGAATACTTATGGAAGTATATAAAGAGAGATTTCCTAAAGTTAGTTGAATAATTGAATTTGAATATGTGCCTATTTAGATCAAAGTATTATAGTACTTAAGACAATTTGTCTTCATGATATTCATATTTTAGGCAAAAGAACAAATGGAAGAAAAATTAAAGGTCAGTCGCAAGAATTTATCATGCTATGATGTTTTTAAATGTACTGGATCAGAAACATAATAGCATTCTTAACTTCTGTTGCCATCTAAAGTAGTTATATCATAGAAATTGTCTTATGTTAGATATAATTGAAACAGAGATTTTATCTATTAACAATTAACTGATCCCTTCAAATTTTTGCTTATAACTCTATCATTATTGTTCATTACAGATCATACTGAAAGAAATGCCTGAAGATGATAACCTCGCTGACGGTATACTAAACTTTTTATATCATCAGGTAATTTAGATGATCGGACTGATTATATTGTATCTTACATTAAAGATTTATTAATTACAAGAATATTAAGATTGGTAACTGTTACACATTTGATATAACTATCAACTGCATAGTAAGTCATGCTGGCCGTCATAATTTCAAATTTAATATTGTATTTTTTATTATTACGCTTATATAGCTTGTCGAATTAATACGCGAATTGCTAAAAACCTCCCGAGAAGGTACTGTCAATCATGACTACTTTCTCGAATTATCTGAAAAATTGGCAAAATTATTGGAAGAGGTAACAGTGTATGAATGATGTACTATTTACATACATACGATCTAAAACTTCCTAGTCGATAATATGGAGTAATATACAATGTAATAATAACCAATTAATATGTAGAATTAATATCGGTTGCTTGATTCTATCCTCTTATCGTAGGCGCATAGTAAAACTGATCGCGATGTTACACCTGTCACTGACATGATTCGAAAACTATTAGTAATTGTATCAAGACCGGCTAGACTACTAGAGTGCTTGGTATTGTTAAAATAATTTACTATTATTATGAAGTACTAGTATATGTATTTACCGTATGGATGCGCAAAATTTGCAATTCTAAAAGCAACTTTTCGCTTTAAACTACATTACAGGAATTCGACGAAAATGAGTTTTATGATTCAATCGACGCTAATCGAGAAAAAGATTTAATAACTAGTCTTAAAAGTGATGTGCCTCGTTACGTTATCAGCCAACTTGGCTTGACAACAATCGATGGAGGTACCTTATTAGCAGTGCTACGATAATCGTTTTATCAAAAAATGCTAATTAAAATAGTATGTAAATGCAAATCATATTAAGGCGTTTATTTTTTATGTTATTTAGTAGCTGAAAATTTAGAATCTAAACAGGTAATTAAAACAGCTCATTAAATATTTGCTCATAATGTTATTGCACTTTTATTATAATTAATAGCTTCAATATCAACTTCTTTTATCAGAGAGAGATCTACAATCCTTTTAAAGATGAAGCCCCTAGTGAACACGATTTTAAGCCGATTAAGCTAATTAGTAGAGGAGCGTATGGGTACGTATCAATTTACTGTTAGAATCATTACCTTATTATTACGGTATTGCAATACATTGTAGTTGTCTTTCTAGTCCGTTTTCTGAAAACTATTTTCTCTATATTGGTTTATTAATTTTATATGTAGATCGGTATTTCTGGTACGACATCGAAATACTGGTCAACGTTTTGCGATGAAGAAAATAAGTAAACAAGGCATGTTACTACGGAATCAGGTACCAGCATCGTTTATGTTCAATTTATTGATCTAATTAAATGATACTCATTTATCTAAATACTAAATCCTTTCACTTGTTATGTAAAGAACCTTTTGACATAATTCCATTATTTTTAAGGTTAAACAAGTTTTTAATGAACGAGACATTCTAACTTTTGTGGACAACCCTTTTATTGTTAGTATGTGGTGTAGCTTTCAAACGAGAGTAAGTATTCTATCAAAATACCCACTTTTAAAGTTGACAGTTTTATATTTAAAATATTAATAACAATGATACATCAGAGGCACAATAATTGTTGGTAGTATATTCATGTAATATGGATTTTTATATAACAGAAACACTTATGCATGGTAATGGAATATTGTGAAGGCGGTGATTGTGCCACACTACTCAAACATATTGGACCACTTCCCCTTGAAATGGCAAAGTTAGCCCATATTTTTAAATATCTTATAGATATGTATAACTCTTTCTTATTATGTATGGAATACCCATATTATTAGCTATTTTACTTCTTTACAGTTACTATTAATCAATAACCGTTTCTGTTAACTCAAATGAAAACCTTTAGAATGTACTTTGCTGAAACGATTTTGGGTATCGAGTATATCCATAGCTACGGAATTGTGCATAGAGATTTAAAGCCTGAAAAGTAAGTTCATTTTATTATTTATAAATATATATACGAGTAGGATAATTAAAAACTATTTATTTTTTAAAGAAATAACATGTAGCGGACTTTAGCACGCTTTATCAAATTATTTATTTTAGCTACTACAAAAAAAAGAACAATAAAGCATTACTAGCCGCTAACAGATTTTACCCTTTTCTATAATACTCTTATAGCCTATTGATTACGTCATTGGGGCATATCAAATTGACCGATTTTGGATTATCTAAAGTTGGCCTGATGAATCGTATGTAAACGTTGAGAAATTTGTAATCTATCTCATATCATACTTAATTATGAATCATTATTCGCGGATTCTAAATTTTTAATGGTAAGGCATAAATGATTTAAATTCCATTTCTTTCTATCACTTTTCTCGTTAGTTACGACGTCGGCATATGAATACGCTATCGAGCAAGATACCCAAATATTTCAAGATAAACAAATTTATGGTACACCGGAGTATATTGCACCAGAAGTAATTCTACGCCAAGGATACGGTAACAGTTTTATTAAAATCGTAATGGAAACTGTTTTAAAAATTTTCAAATATGATATCTAAAGTGGTATCTTATATTACATAGGTAAACCGACAGATTGGTGGTCAATGGGCATTATACTGTATGAATTTTTAGTTGGATGTCCACCTTTCTATGGTGAATCAGTCGAAGAATTATTCGAGCAAGTTTCGAATGGTATATTAAGATATATTTAACCGCTATGAAAACAACATACCAAAACGAATAAAATATTACATATAAACATATAATAGGAGATGAAATTGAATGGCCCGAAGAAGAAGATGCTGTCCCTGAAGATGCTAAAGATTTAATTACAAGATTATTGCAACAAGATCCTGCTACGCGTCTTGGTACTACCACAGGTAAAATTATAAAAAATTTTTATAGTAACTAAATGAATCTAGGTATTGCTTTGTATTTGATCTATTTGAAAGTGTCTTTAAAAATTCTTTTTATTTGTTTCAAGACTCTACTGAGGTCAAAGAACACGAGCTATTTCAAGATATTGACTGGGCATCATTACTACGCCAGAAAGTAGAATTTGTTCCAGAGCTAGATAACGAAGAAGATACTAGCTACTTTGATCGTAAGTCCTATTAATATTCAACTTATGTTTTTTCCTTGTTTGAATACTTAGTGCAGCTTATAATATTATGTCAAGTAAATGCAACGATTTACAATGTTTATCATAAATTTTTTTATCATCTCTAGCACGAACTGATCGTTACTGCCGTACTCACAGCGATGAAGAATCTGATGAAAATTATGACTCTGATACAAGTGATTTATCATTCGTCAACTTTTCTAGCTGTTCGAGACGCTATCATGCTTTGGAAAATTCGAATCCTACTTCTAGGCATCATTCGCTTACTGGTAGCAATGATGGATCGACAAGCCCTCTCTTATCACCTGAAATATCGGAGATTCCAGAAGATAAAAATGATGATACTGATAAAGAACCAAAAAATATCAGGTATTATTATGGTACACTTATATAGGCTTTACTTACTCTGTAGACAGTAATCGTAATACAGCTTTTCATTGTAGTTCGTCATTAATTACAATAACACTAAAAATTGACTATTTTTCTTAGTTTATTGTTAAGTGAAACTCCTGAAAACGAGAACAATCAGCCAATAAAACTTAATATATCGGAATCTAGTGTTAGAAAGCTACGTAAAAATCTGGAAGTACCCAAAAATCCTGAAATCTATGTTGAAAATGAAAGTGATTATTGTGAGGAAGACCCTTTTACTGAAAGCAGAGGTTAATAGATGACTTACTAGAATTGTGATAATTGATGGTGTTATCTGAAACAATTTTCATTACAGGTTTTATTACCGATTCACCAACGAGCCCACTTAGTTCACGCGGTAGTCCTTGCACTAGCCCGACTAGTTCGCTTCCGCCGATTGTACTTTACAAAGGGCCACGCGGATTCGGATTTACAATTAGATCAATACGCGTATACATTGGAGACACAAATATGTATACCGTTCAACATCTTGTAAATGTAAGTTTTCGTAAAATGTTCAATGCATGAGTGAATTTTACTAAAAATGGCTGTAACTCTAATTGATGAAATTACATAATGTTCTTTGCTAGTCTGTGGATGAAAAAAGCACAGCAAGTCAAGCTGGGCTTAAAGAGGGTGATCTTATTACGCATGTCAATGGCGAGGTAAAGAATATGCTAAGGATATGATTTCTGTCATGTTATTTAAGGATCTAAATCTAAGTGTTTTTTTATGACTACTGTAGCCGATTCAAGGCCTAATACATCCGCAAGTAGTAGCTTTAATTGGTAAAGGTGGAAAATGCATTTCAATTAATGTAACTCAGTTGGAAAAGACATGCATAAATAAGTGTGATCGAAGACGGCCATTATCATTTTTACAATTTGTTAAAAGCAAGGATACCGCGGCTAAAAGTAAGAAGTCTAACAGTTTTTGGAGGAGAGGCTCCCTTAGAAAATCAAGTTTGTTTAAAAAAGTACGAGGTAGACGCGAGAAACACAAAGCTCCACAGATGCAGTCATCTCCTCCAGAAACCTCTTCACCAATTAATTCACAATCACCCTCACCAAATCAATCCCCTCACTTGCGCCCTCATACCTTTCAAGGCTTAATGCCTAGACTCAGACGTCGTAAATCGAATTCAACCTCACCCATATCACCACTTGTTAGATCAGATGCTCATGTTGAACATAGTTATGAGTCTCCAACAGCTCCATCTACAAGCAAGTCATTCTTATCTATGCTATGGCCAAAGCCTAAGCTATTACATACGGAAGGTAGCTCATCAGGCAGCTCTCCTCTTCTTCGACGAGCGCTGTCTCCTCCAGAATTGAAAGATAAAAAAAGTAAGCGAGGACAAAAGAAAATTCCGCTAGAAAAGCGTCTCAGTGATACTGGTGATGAGAATAATAATACTGTTCCTGAATTAAATACTCCGAGTGACGATAAATTGCCAAAATCGTCATTACCCGCTAGATTGAGAAGACAATTGGATCGAAAAGGTTCTTGGCATGGAACTGAATTGCATCACTTACAGTGAGCATAGTGATAAATCATTTTGTATCTCCTCAAAATAGACCTATTCAAAGATGTTGTAGTATTGTTATTAAAACGCTATTAGATACAAACATGCTTGAAGCCCACGTAATATTTTACTTGTTTTTCTGTCTTTCTTTTCGATACCAAATGTTTTACTGTTTAATTGCCTGTTAATTTTATTTATTGTAAATTTATTGCAAATTTGCCTATATATCTGATACATATTTGTTCCATAATTATAGTATACCGGAACAATCAGTTTAATGAATACGTTTATTTGTCAACTCGCCGTGGTATTTGCTATCGACACAACACCTTAGAATGAGTTTATAACGGCATAACTCAGTCCATTGTGTCGATCGTACGTTATCCTATCGCTTAAGCCCTTTTCTTATTGCGATATTAAAAGTAAGCTATCTTTGTACATACTGTATATTGGATTATAGACCTTGATGCTGGCATTTATTAAATAATACTAACTATGCCATTCAATAAGATAACCAATTACATATATATGTATGCTTAAATATATCTACGCGTATATAGGCTTTTATAAGACTGTATAATATAAAAAATACCCGTTATACGCTTGATACGAATAATTAGTCTGTCATCCAATATTGCTTTCTAACATTCTTTTGCATCAGATGAAAGATTATTTATTAGATGGCAGTTAATTAAATGTCCCTCGAATTATATTTTAAAACTATTTATAACCAGCAACATCGTACTCTACGGTAAATGGCATAAATTTATCAATACGAGTATATAATACAAAGTTCGAAATTTATAACCTATAGCTTCACAACCTTCTCGTACAAACGTATATGCCGTATTGGTAATTTGTGTAATGTATTGGATACGTAATGTTTTGATTTATAGCAAAGTAACTTTGCCGCCATTTTGTGTACTAAGTACCGACATGCAACACTACATTATTACTTACTGGTAGCACTATATCAATTAAGTCTGACGTAAAGTTCTGTCAGCAAAGCTTGAAATATTTGATAATTTACAAATGTAGCAATCATTTCCTCTATCTGTTTCAGTTTTTACCCTGTATATTACTTGTTAAAATAAGGATATACAGTCTAAAATTTCTGTATCCTGTACTATTCATATGACAGATTATTTGTAATAAAAGAGTCCTATTCCCAACTAACTCAAACGAATAGTCCGTTTGTGTACTTCATTCATTCTGTTGTCTATTAGTTTTTAACACTATTTTTTAAGACTATTATCATGTCCAATCTAGTACATCGAGTCATTTGTCTGTTATCATGCGTGCGATGACTACTGTATTACATAATTTGTAAAAATCGATTTATTCTAGGGTTCTTAAGATTTAAGCAGTTACACCATTATTATTAGCAAACGATCACATCAAAGATTTAACAGTAACAAGTTTATGTTAAACTTATTTACTAGAAACGCCATAAAGTAGCTATATCCTACCGCTAATTGTCTAAATTGCAATTTGCTATTCTATTTCTCTTTTGCTATCATTTCACTAGTAACTTGTTTGCCAATGTAAGATCAAATAGAAACTATTGCAAATGCCCTTATACATAAATTACTGCTGTATTTATTGATTACTTCCAAGCCTGCTCCTGATATTCTCTTCCTGTTATACTAATATTTTATAACGAAAATTTATAGTCCTGCGAACATAAATATAGCCACAGGACTCTATAATCGAATAGAGAAATATTTTTAAGTCTTTATATTTAATCGGATAAACCGCAATTCATACACAATATTATTTTTCAAGCCCGCCAGCAATACTTTCGATGGTATACAAGCTTTCTCATGCACGATATTTAAAGATCTCTTAATCCGTGTACAAATCCCATATTAACATACACAAATGACGGCTATATCGTGCTACTATAGCACCACTAATTGATTTATTTGATAGATAAAGTACTACATTCAGCACGGAAATTTATTAAATGTATTTTAGAAGTTGACACGGTAACGTAAATAAATAGATTAGGATCTTATCTAATAGGAGCAAATTAGAGGCAAAAAAAATAAGCTATCACTTAAAGTTAGATGTAGAAGGTCTTTTTCGTCCATTTATATCAATAAGATAATATAATCATTTCACAGTATTTATGGCGAAGCAAAGAGGATTAACTAACAGAAGCATTGCTACTACTGTACACACTGGCGAGACCACTTTGTAATTGGAAAATATATAAATTAACTTAAGATAGATAATTATTAATCTCTCTTCGTTCTAAAGTGATCATCATCTTCATCATCGTCATTCAATGGTAGCTTGTGACAAAATCGCATTTGCCTTTCTTCCACGCTATGCCACATTCCATAACCGAAATAAATACTGAAACCTACAATGTACGGATAATTAATAAGCTTTAATGAAAGTGTAACTACAATTACGCTGCATATTGAACAAAGTTCATAATATCTTTCTAATTTCCACTGCTTAATACTTACCAATAGCCATCCAAATAGCGAATCGTATCCACGTAGCTGTAGGCAATTTTAAAATTAAAAAGAGGTTAATAAATAAACTTAAAATGGGTGTAAATGGAACTAATGGCACTTTAAATTTTAATTTTTGCCGGTTTTTAGGCTGTCTCACGATAATATATATCACTATTAATATCAATAGAACTAGAGTGCAGACTAAAAGAATCGTCCACCATGTACGATTGAGTAATTGGTTGATTAATTTAATAAGAATGAGATTTAGTGCTAAAATAGCAGCACTTAGGGCGGTGACACATTTGATAACTGTCCTGCCACTTTGGGATGTTGGTTGGTCTTCATCATCAATTTTATCATCGTCAATATCACTTAAAGTATCACTTAGCTGATTATTATCGGGCAAAATTAGATCATTTTCAGATGGTTTATCACCTAAATTACTCTTAAATTCTACACCATTGTTATTAACTGATCCATAATCATGAAGTGCTGATTGATTTTGTAATCCATCATTTTCTTCATTCTGCGGTTGTGTAGTTGCATGTTGAATCAGTTCGATCTGGTTATCATCTTGTAAGGATTGTCCAATACTATGATCACTAGGCTGATAATGTAGGATTAATATCGATGCCGAAACTAAAATATAGGCCAAGAGCGTACCAATAGACATCATATTAACTAATGCTGCTATATCAAAAATCAGAGCCACGATTGAACAGAATATTCCTGATACGACGGTAGCATACAATGGCGTCTTGAATCTATCATGGACTCTACCAAGTATCCTATCCAAAAAAGCCACAAGTTAAGAGCAAATTAAGCAATTTAATCGCTGTTAGATCATTTATTGATCTATTAGTTATTACATCACTACGAGTGAAAAGAAAGCTTAGCCTTTAATCTGTTTAATTCTTTAGATAGTTGATCATTATAATCAATAATATATTCGTAAACCTACTTAATAATTGTATCAGAACGAAAAAGAATTAAAAGTTGTCTTCAATATGAAATATGCCTTACCTTTAATATATCGCTATCTTTAGATAATTTTATATCTTAACTATAATTTCACTCACACGTTAGCGTAATAAAAATAAAAAGGATGCGAACTCAAGGACTATCTTCAGGACTATAGTATGCTGTACTTTTAATCGATCAGCATCTTTAGATGGCCTTTCATTTTAATTTTATTCGTACATTTACTTAGTAACTGTATAAAGGTGATAGTATCATACGTAGTCTTAACTATTTTTCCTGTTAGATCGTGGCTGATCTATTAAAATAGCTAGTTATTCTATTGCCAGGTAGAAAGGCAATTTCACTTTTTATCTATCAATATCTTCAAATCATTTTTCTTTTTTAGTTCAAGTTTTTAATTGTATCCATATTATAGAACTGTATAAAAATGACGATACAGGATTGAGCCCTGCTTAGAATATCCAATATGCAGTAGTTTATCTTAACACGCGCCGCGGTCAAGAGTTAAATTGCAACAGTAATTACATCAAGTTCATCGAATTTTGAGAATAGATTAACCTCCAAAAACTACCAATGTAACCTACTACTCTCTAAATGAAGCTATTTATGCAAATCTATATCAACCTATTAAATATTAAAGCTTTACTCTATCACTTACTTGAATAGCAAGCCATCACGAGACATGGCAAAAATCACTCTAGGCAATGGAAATACTGACCCCATAATCGACGCTGACAGACCACAGAAAGCACCCACAGAGATAATATATTGAGCAACTTTAACCCCTTTCAAAGCAAATACTTGTGGTAAAGGAGCCTTGGGATCAATTTTATAGTAGGGCACCATTAATGTAATAACTATGGAGATTGATGAATAAGCTATAAAGCAGACAACTAACGTTAGTAAAATACTTAAGGGTACAACACGTTGAGGATTACGGACTTCCTCACTAGTTGTACATATCGCATCAAAACCAACGTAAGCATAGAAACTAGTAGCAGCACCAGTTAATAAACCACCAATGCCAAATGGTGTAAATCCACCATAACCTTGTAAAGGATAGGGACCAGGGTGTGGAATAGAAGAATTGGGAATGTTCCAGTTTTGAATATCGGCGTAAAACATCCCGCATGAAAAAACGAATGTGATCACCATTAAATTAGTCACGGTAAAGATATTATTTATAGTCGAAGAAGCTTTAACGCCAGTACTTAAAGTGATTGTAAATATAATCACGATTGCAAAAGCCAGAAAATCGGGATAAGAGGCTAAACCAGGAGCATGCCAGCTGAGATGCTTTTGAAAATAGTTGGATATAGCGTGATTGGCTAATGAATCAAGATTACCACTCCAAGCACGGGCTACCGATGCCACAGAGATAGCATATTCTAAAATGAGATTCCATCCGATTATAAAAGCAATCAATTCACCAACAGTAACATAACTGTAGACATAAGCTGATCCAGTTTTAGTAATTCGAGAGCCAAACTCAGCATAACATAAAGCGGCTAAAGCCGAAGCAAAAGCGGCAATGGCAAAAGCAATAATCACTGACGGTCCCGCCGA